GGAACGGGCGGCGGCGTTTCAATTTGGCTAGGTACTCCGTTGTGTTGTGGACAGTTTAGAAACTTCAACGACAATCCAAACAAGAAAGATTGTCACAAGAGTAGCATGTCCAACAAAATTGACCAAGTTACAGTCAACCAATATCCCCACCCTTACCACATGATGATCAACGCCTGCTCGAAGCGCGCGTGTTTGTGTGCCCGGACAGCCTTAGGCCCTCTGCTTTGGCGTGGGTAGCGAGATGGATGAAGATTTACAATGGAAGGGCGTCAAAGACAAGGACGTCCCCTCCCCACAGAAGGTAATGTTTCCATGTTCGTCCGGGGCGATCCCACCGGAGTTAATCGACAAAAGTCTCGCCGTAGTCTCGCCCGGAATAAGGATTTCCAAAGTCCATGCTGCTTAACTCCTAGGCCGACACCATTCCAGGGCACCTGAGCCACCACATTGGCTGACAAAGCACGCCGCGCAAAGAAACAGGCGGCGCTGGGTGCTTGCACCGGGCAAAGCGACCACTTCGCGCCGTCTCTGAAGGTTACACAGGCATTGAAACAAAATGCTTCCCACTCACACTTAATGACAGACTTGCTGCCGGAACTTGGGCCCCTGTACAGACCACAGGCGAGGCCATGAAGGCTTGGCTTGGCGCGTCACTGAGGAGACCGTACCCGGCTCTGCCCCTTTCTGCTTCCCCTCAATTTGTACCTTTTCCCCTCGAAGACACCAGCACTTTTTGTTCACAGCCTTGGCTTTGCTTGGAATGACAAGGCCTCAGCATGCGAGGGGTTTGCATGGAGCATCGGCTTTCTTCTGCTCGAATAGAGACGAACAGCGCAACAGCATGGGCGACGGCACAACCAGTGATGGATATAGTTTGGGCTTCGAAGGCTTGATGGAGGGAAAGTACATGCTGGGTGATGGGTGGGATGGGATGGGCACGGCTGGTCTCATGGGTGGAGAGCGCCGGGAGCGGCACACTAGCTCTATGTTCAGTGACCACTTCAGCCATGCCTGGGCGCAAACAAGTTGGGGTACGAGATATTGAGTTGACCATGAGACGAAATGATGGATGCTCATGACTTTGAATGACCAGAAACCCGTACACATGAAAAAACATATGGCGCGGAGGGATGAGTCTCCCGGGATATGACCATGTTGCTTGGTATTCGGCATCGACATACTGCCTCTGCCTCGTCCGTGCAGACCCGGTTGTTGTATAGGGTACGTGCCGCATTTTTGGTCCAGCACTCAGGGTTGCAGGCGGGCACAGTCGGGCGTCCTCGTCAAGAAGGCTGGCGGGCTCGCCCTCTGTGACTCTCGAGGTTCAACTGTAGCTTGCAGGGTTGATTAACAAATGACATGATGTGATGGGGCACTCGGCTGCGCGGTCCTTTCGTTCGGTAAAGTCATGGGCATCCATGTACGACGAGGCGATGGAGATGTGCGCTTCAGGTAATAGCCAGCACACTACACATATGCATACACACATTCCTCTCGGCCCCTTTCTCCCGGTCTACCTTCGTTCAACCTATGTGCGTGCATACGAGGCAGCAATATTTGCAGCTACAAGTCGCTTGTCAACCCTGGCTGCACCCACATCTGCGTCTGCTGCTCAATCAGGCGAGGATACCATCGTTACACAAGATTCAATCCTCCTCCTGTCCCAGCGGCTTCTGTCAGTTGTATGCTGGCCTGGGTTACAAGCCCGACTTCGACGTAACACAAGGAGGGTTCCCTGTCGGCTGTCGATTGACAGACGTTAGGAAACTCGCCGGAAAGTCACCGGGGGCGCCAGTTAGCATAGGACACAGACACGTTACAAATGGACGCCACGGGGCACTCGGCAAGGGAGGGTGAGGTGGAGGATATAACATGGGACAGGGGTAGGGCACCGTGCAGTGGCCGTGGGAACTTTGGACCTTAGGAGGGTACCTCGGTAGGTTACTTACCCCGTAAGTAGACGGGTAATCAGGAGGGGGGCCACGGAGAAAACGGGGGCGTGCTTCCTGGAAGGCTGAGAGGGACCTAGACTCCGGCTGTTGCCGGAGTTAAGAATCCCCAGTCAGCAGCGGCTTCAGTGGCTATACAACTCGAACTCATTCTCATCGTCACCATCTCAAGAAGTCAAGAGGTCTGCATCAGTATCTTCTGCTCCGTGCTGCCTGGCTCGGTTCGGAGGGCGGGAGGACCATGCTGGTCGGTCTTAACCGTCACATCACCGGCGCTAAAGCAGAGTCTTCAACCTAGAGTACCCTTTACATATGACAAGTACTTTGCGAAGCTGTGTTTGATGCCTCGTGCTTTTATCTTGTTGACTGAATCGAGGCTACCTGTGTTTGGTTGCTATCGTCCGGTGTAGACAGTGCAAGGGTCAAAAACGCATCAGAGCTGCATGCGGGCAATGGAACCCTGAGGGCTCTTAATTCGTGTCGTGGCCACCAGCAATGCCTCATGGTCGATGCTGGTTCATCCCGTCCATCCTATCTGGTCTCTCACAACATAACCCGGCTGTTCGCAAATCCTACAGAGGTTTTAAGTTTCCGATGCTAATTCCATCCTTGAGCAAGACCGGAGCCGATGCGGCAATGCTTAGCACAGACGCTGGACCGGCCTACCGAGACGCACGCCCGCCCCCATTGAACTCGACTTCACGCGCTAAAACACATCGCGGAGGTCCCCTAGGTATTCTTCCAGCGCACTTACCTACGCACTACGACTTTACCCGCCGTGATGGATCTTCCCAGCTGCGGTGTCTGAGGCCCGCCTGACGTCCGTCACCTTGCGCCACAAGCGATCAGTCATCATAGCGTCGGGCTGGACAGGAAAGAGGATTCGCTACCTTACCTGTTTACGAGTCGCTATCGTTGGTTAAACTATGTTTTGGTTTCCTTACCCAACTGAACAATGATACGCGCTTTTGCCTCACCAAGCCTCCGGCTCTCTTCCGAAATAGAAAGACTAGAACAATGCAACCTGCATCGCACCACTCCGTACCGCATTTCCTGCTACCCAGACGTACTTGTTATGCTTCCTGCGTCAAGATCCTTCTTCGTAGTCAAGATCGGGCACACTGGATAATGCTCGTCCACAAGCACCTCGCTTTGCGTTGTGTCGTGTCTCTTTTGTGTTCAAGACGACCATTAGCCGTTGTGGATCTGTTCCGGCCGGGATGTTCAAGAGTAGGTACCAAGGTATTGCCGTACAAGATTAGCTCGTGATGGTTACGTAGGAGGTTGTATATTATCTGCGCCTTTGCGCGGCCTCCCTCAACAAGGACCATAACGACTCAAGAGTCACATTCTCAGACATTGCCATGACACAGGTAGATCGGCGCCTAATGCGAGCCACTTGTCCAAAGTCCAAATTCCTGTCCTTCCACATTAGCCCTTTGCATACTGGAGGTGGAGGTACGCAAAGAAGTGACGACTTTCGATGTGGGGAAGCTGCAACACCATTTCGGTGGGAACCAAAATGCTTCGAAACTCGGCCACGAAGTCACGACGAGGTTTTTTTGCACTCATTATCTCACCGTTTGCGCGCCCGGCTGGGGAATATAGCCCGGTCGATCACTTGGTGTTTCAATAAGTTGTGGTCTGCACTTTACCTTAGGTAATCATGGCACTGTGCCACAAAGCAGCTTCGACAGAGTACCTGCATTTACCTTTCTTGGTTGGTGATGAAATTAGCCCGGGCTCCACTTGGCTTACGTTTTCCCGCCATCTGCAAGCAAGCTTGCAAGCTTCCAGCGAAACATCTTCAATCCCTCAAAAAACTGTTTGGATTTACGTCGAGGCATAGGTGATTGGATGCGGCCCAGGAAGCATCCCTACTTCCCAATCACCCCCGCCGAACCGCGGACACTCCAAACCGCCCAAATACTTTCTTGCCATTCGCTGTTCTTGCAGCCCGCCGAATAGAATCCGCATATACTTTCCATTTACCAGCTGAACAACCGCCGGCTCTACGCAGTCCAGAACGACCGCAATGGCACCGGACTGGAAGTTGCTATACCTCTATGGAGGCGACAGGTTGGTTTTCTGGCCCAGATTCGGTTCGGGGACCATTGCGTTGAGAAACCCGCACCGCTCCCTTACCCCTTCTCATGATTCACTCATCTCTTGAAATAGCGGAACACATGAGACATCTGATTGACCAATATTATTAGCCCCTGGGATTCCAGTCTCTGGACTGATTCTGACGACCGAGTCCGCGGCGGAAAGAGCCAGTCTCACATGCACTGCGAATCGCCGGAGAAAGCTCGATTTTTTGGTCACCTAGACATCACCACCCTCGGAGCAGCTGGATTCGCGTCTCAGAGGACTCTTGGTACACTCCATCTGGATTTGAGGCAGTATGATGGTTTCGTCATCAGAATCCTTCAGAGCGACTCCAAAAAGTACACTCTTACTGTCAAAGACGAGATCCTGCCTCCCAGGGACGATGGCCGCGACCAGAGCACAATCAGCTGGGAGTACGACTTCGTCTGTGATACTGGCGACGTGAAAATCCTCTGGAGCGACTTCAAACCCACATACAGGGGCAAACCCAAGCTTGATGCCAAGCCGCTGGACTTATCCAGTATTAAGAGAATCAGTTTCATGATGCGAAGGTAATGCAATACCCATCATTTTATCGCCTTTTTGCTGATAAAGTGTCAGCTTTTTTGGAGAGCAGGAGGGAGATTTCACCCTGACTGTTGCACATCTCGCCGCTATTAGCGACAGACCCACGTCACCAGGATCAGAGCTATCATTCGAAAAGGACCATGCAGCCGTGCGTGCTGCTGCGCGTACTCCCGGGGCCCAGTCGTCGTGGCTTAGCTGGATTTGTGGATGGGGTAAATGACCTCCCGTGATCATGGACTCCATACCCGGCGCCAGCCATGCTTCATGGAGAATACAATCACAACTCGTGGTGCATTCGTTTATGTACTTGATGACATTTTGTTACAGCGCTATGGCTGTCCATCTTTCTGTTCTAAAGCTATTTTGATGAGCGCTTCATACAATCTGACCTATAACCTTGATCAAATCGCCTGTCACACCCATAGCCGTCACATCACCACCAGCGCCGGCACCCTGGATAATTAGTGGGTTGCTACCATACCTCTCCGTGTAAAAGCTGATGATGTTGTCGCTGCCCTTAAGCGCGGCTATGGGATGAGATGCGTCGAACTGCTCCAGACCAACCTTGACCTGCTTGGAAGCAACGTCAATGCTGCCTACGAAGCGCACAACCTTGCCTTGGCTCTCTGCGGCTGCCTTGGTCTCCTCCATCTGACTGTCAAATGCTGGAAGTTTCTGCAAGAACTCGTCACCGCTCGAACATGACTCGAGTTCCTTGGGGATCAGACTCTCAACGGGGAATGAAGTCGGGGATTCCACTGGCAGTCCAGCCAGTCTTGCAAGAATGGTGAGCTTCCGGGCGACATCGAGTCCATTAAGATCGTCTCTCGGATCCGGCTCCGTGTAGCCTAGCTGCTTCGCCTTGGCCACCTCGGCGGACCACTTGCCCCCGGAGCCTGATACAGGAGCAAAAGAGTTGAACAGGAAGGACATGGTGCCGCTGAAGACGCCCTCAATCTTCGTAACACGGTCACCAGTCTCCACCAGATCTTTCAGGGTCGAGATGACGGGCAGGCCCGCACCGACAGATGACTCGTGGTAGACTTTGGCGCCAGATGTCGACGCTGCGGAGAAAATATCTTGCCACAGCTTGTAGGAGCCCGAGAACGCCTTCTTGTTGGGGGTGACAACGCTGATACCACGACCAAGGAAGACCGGGTAGGCATCGGCGACATCTTGGGAACTGGTGTTGTCGACAAGGACGACCTTGGCGGGAGCGGCAGCAAGATACTCAGCGAGCTGGGAAAGAGGGGGCGGAGCCTGCGAAGCGGCGGAGAGTTTCTCGGTGACGCCAGTGATGGGGATGGCAGAGTAGCTGTGGTCGTACAGAGCCTTTTTGCTGGTTGAAATATAGCATAGGCTGAGCTTTGGGGAGGGTCGTCTCGCAGCTAGCGCCTCGAGTTGGGAGAGGAAGCACTTTCCAACCCCGCCAGCGCCTATATCGCATGCCAAGAAACGTTTAGATGATGTTCTTTTCCGAGGTGGTGTGAAGGGATGCTCGTACCGATAATGGCAATGAATATCTGCTTGGGAGAAGACATTGCTGTATTTCAAGGACTAATCGGTTATTGAGACGCGATGTGAACTGGGCCGTTTGCCTGTGGTTTCAGTGTTGAGTGCAACAGAGGGGTTTAGGAGGAGGGCAGGATGATTAATTTCTCTGCACCTCCGACCGCGGGGCACCGGTGGGGCACCCAACATGGGGCTTCTCGGGGTACTCTATCTTATCACTCGGTGAGCATCTGCACCGAAAGTCCTGCAGCGGCAACCGGAAGCCTGTGCATTCCAGCATCGGAGCTTGGGCCGTTCTCATCCCGGCCCTGTCCAGGTCATGTCGTCATTCAATGAGGTAGCATCCCATCCCCTATGTACGGCTGATACAAGAATGCCCCCAACTCCGCTGCTGTCGACAATTGAGTGACCCATCGTTTTCCCCACGACATCCTGGCTCTCTCAGGATTATGTCCACTGAAGAACGGTAGTCGCCATGACTCTACTACAATCGCTTCTCCATCTCACCAACTTCAAAAATCCCTTGCTACGGACTTTGGTTCCTTCAGTCTCCGCCGCATATGCGATCCAATTTGCTTTCGCGATCCCCTCCATTCTCGCACAGAATGAACGCTTTTATGACTTTTCCGGCTCCCTGACGTTTCTGTCCGTAACTGGTCTCAGCCTGTATCTGCCCTCGTTGCGCACCACATTCTCGTCTACGGCAGCCAACGTGTCTACTCCGTTGCCGAGTCTTTTCGCTCCGTTCACCAACCCTGGTAGACTCGGAGCTCTGAACTGGCGACAGGTTGCTCTGAGCGGTGCCGTCGTGTTTTGGGCTGTACGACGTAAGTTTACACACATCTTCCGTGGCTTGATGTGAGGTTTTTAAATCTGACCGCGGCATCTGTAGTGGGATCATACCTATTCCAACGTATCCTGCAAGACGGCCACGACTCTCGCTTCGATGAAATCAAGAAATCTCCCGCAAAATTTGCGGGTGCTTTCTTTGCTCAAGCCACCTGGGTCTCCTTGTGCCTACTCCCTGTGATAGCTCTCAACTCCGTTCCCGCAGCTTCGTTCGCTGCGTTGCCACCCGTCAAGATATCTGACATCGCCGGCATTCTCGTCTACGTTGCCGGGTTCGCGTTCGAAATCACAGCTGATTGGCAGAAGAGCAAGTGGATGCGAGAAAAGAGGGAAAAGCTTCATGACGAGCAGTTCATGACCCGCGGCCTTTGGACTGTCAGGTACGTTTTGAACTGCGCAATTAGCATTGCCATCTCTGCTCCCATAAAGGAGTGGCACCAGTTGGAAAGCGAACTACGACATGACTAACACAACATCAGCCAATATCCGAATTATTTTGGAGAAATTTCTCTCTGGACTGGCATTGCAACTGCCGCCGCCGGGATTATCGTATCGAAGCCTGTCCAAGCCAGTCTAGGTCTCTACGGCGGCATTGCTGGGCCTCTACTAGCAACTGCAATGTCGTTTGCAAGTCCTGCATTCGTCGCCCTGCTCCTGACAAAGGTTTCGGGCATCCCCCTGAGCGAGAAGAAATACAACAAGCGTTATGGAGACCGCAAGGACTACCAGGAATGGAAGAAGAACACTCCGAAGTTGATTCCCAAGGTATTCTAGCCCGGGATACTGTGATGTTGAGAAATTGGTACCACAAACTGAAGATTATTTCTTTTCAATATCGGAGTCTCCAATACGACCACATACTCTGGTCCGGAATGGACCAACCTGCCTAGATGATGTTGTTCACGATCGCCCCAGTCAGCCCCCTTTTCCTCTGTGCCCACCGCGCGTCCACCCACACAACCAATCTGGTGCCCCAAGCGCCTCCAACGGGAATCAATCATCAGTCAAAAAGAAGAAGAAAATGTCATTTCGCATCCATTAAATGTCATGAAAATCGGTGTCGTTGGTTGGGATGAGACAAATGCGAGTTCCAATCAGTTACTGGTGGAACTTCTTCACCTTCTCAACCTCATCAAAGCTGCCCATGAAGATACCGGCTCGGTCATGAATGTGTTCGGGCACGACCTCGAGCATTCTCCTCATCTTGCTGTCGACCGCTTGACCACCGGCTGCGAGAACGTTTAGAAGTGAAACTGGTCAGGGTATAGAGATGCTCAGACTTACCATTCTCAAATACCAATGCCATTGGTGCGCATTCGTAAAGAATACGAAGTTTGCCTTTAGGGCTCTTCTTGTCGGCCGGGTAAGCAAATACGCCTCCGTAGAGCAGAGTACGGTAGGCATCAGCCACCATAGAGCCGATGTACCGAGCGCTGTACGGTTTACCGTTTTCTTGGGGTGTCTTCAATGAGTTGAAGTAGTTGTTTGTGCCATCCTCCCAGTATAGGGAGTTACCCTCATTCACCGAGTAAATGGCGCGGGACTTGGGCAGTCTCATGTCGGGATGGGTAAGGATGAATTCGCCGACACCGTTGTCGAGCGTGAAACCATTCACGGTGCCGCCCCTCATAGTAATGACGAGTTGAGCCGACGCGCCGTACATGGTGAAGCCGGCAGCCAGGAGCTCAGTGCCAGGCTTCAGGATGTCTTCCTTGGTGCCAGTTGAACCCTCTTGTAATTTGTGGATACCAAAAATGGTGCCAACGGACACACCGGCATCCAGGTTGGAGGAGCCGTCGATGGGATCGCATGCGACGGCATAACGGGCGCCCGTACTGTCGTTGAAGAAGATAACGTCCTCCTCCTCCTCTGAGACCAGTAGAGCGCACTTGCCGGACGATCTCATCGCCTCAATGAAGAGATCGTTTGAGATGACATCAAGCTTCTTTTGATCGTCACCAGTGGTGTTGGAAGAACCGGCCAGACCAGTCAGGTTAACTAGGGTAGCTCGACGGATGTAGTAGGCAATCGACTTGAAGGAAAACTGCAGGGCATGGCATAGAAGTCTATGCGCATGGTTAGAAGACAAACGTAGCGGAGCAAGTGGGAGTTGAAGGCCTACGTGAAATCTCCGGTGGCTTCCTTATGTTTGGCTTGCTCTTCGGTGAGGAAGCGAGTCAGCGTAACAATGTTGGTGTTGATCTTTTCGGTTTCTTGGCCGCCGCCGTTCGTTGTGTAGGCCGACATGGTGGGTTAGGTGGCTGTGACTGGACGCGTCAGTCCTTTGGTCAAGATTGTGGGCATCCGGGAGTTGACATGAAGAAAAGATAGAAAGGAGAGAAGTGCTTTCTAGTGGTAATTGAGGCTTGTGAAGGTGGTGGTCCACGACGGACATTACAAAGAACAACGAGCGCACGGTATGGAGGGGTCGGGCTTAAGCCGAAGGACGATACGTACGTTCAAGTATGGCGAGTGCGATGCGGGAAGAGAGTGTGGTACAGGAGGGGAGACGTCAGAATGGAGATGAAGGTGACCAAATGAAGGAAATGCGAAAGGAGAAATGAGGTGGCAATTGGAGGAAATGGACCGTGTTTGTAAGTCCGGGTCTGGAACAAAACATCAGACAGCGTTGCCGGAAGCTCTCGTCTTCAGAGCTCAGTGCCCCTCAATTCGGCATACGGCTATCGCAGGGCTACGGTGCTACGTCCTATTATCGCGTACGATCCCGAGTCACCACGACGAAGTGGGGCCTACCGCAAGCACCACCGGCCGAGGGGAACCCGAGACATGGGGATGAAGGCGCTAATGGTACGGGACGCGAGGCGCCTCAGAGGATTTCTCGGAAACGCTCGGCGCGGTATGCAGCGAGAAGCACCCTCGTTTCTCACTACTATTTCTCGTGGACTACGTAAGTGAGTAATCTGTCGGTAGGTTGGTTGGTTCTTTTCCGTCCCATAGTAGGTAGGGAGTACTTTTGGGTGGCGGGAAAAGAAACGCTAAGGGTGGCAGGGCTGTCCATGGCTACGACGAGGACGTGGTGAAGTGCCTGTAGCTTGGTTTAGGTCAATACTTTTGGCATCTGACAATTCCGCTCTGTTTCTATTCTTTCCATCGAGAGTGATGGAACCCACCGCGGTCCTTGATTCTCCCGCTCTGTACGAAGTCCGGTGGACCGGACTATGGAGGCATGAGGCACTATGACCAGAAGGTCCCATCCGGACCTGTGCGGAACGCTGACAAAGGCCAGTAATTGCTCTGTACTATGTATGCAATTGTAATTGTAATTCCTACTTCCGTATTGGAGGTGGAGCTTGAGGTCCCTGAGCAGTATTCACGACACACACAAGAGTTAGGACCAATAAACCTTTGACTTGTTGACGCCTGAGGCGCAAGCGATTCCTCATCTGCCGGCCTCTTTGGGTTTATCCCAACTCCCCCAGCTTTAACCCCACAACTGACCAAGACCACACTCACTGGTCCACCGCGCAGCGCCCGCAGGGCCGCAGGTGCCGAGCCAACGAGCTTAGATAAGCCCCTATTTTGCGCTCACGTGCCCCCCCGCCTGAGCGTGCTCAAGGTCATGGACATGGTGCCCTTACGTGCTTCATACAGTAGCCCGCGGCAAAACCCCGTCTCGGCCGCGTTGTGCTGGGAGTCTTCGCTGATGTCTCGGTTTCGCTGGCGGACCTCGGCATGTGGCAGCTGCACCAGTAGCCAGTCGATCTGCCCAGTTTACTATCCGTGCCCATCCCCCGTGCTTCGGCCAGAACCTCGACATTTCCCATCGCCAACAACAATTTTCGTGACTTAAACAGTTGCCTCCATTCGAAGCCCACCGAACTCCATCAAATCCACTCCGCATTTGGCCGCATCCTCCGAAGTCACCGCCTGTCCCGAATTTCTGATTTGATACTCTGCCTTCCGCCTCCAAAATGGTTGCCGACGCCGTCATCTACCATCCTTCCGTCGCACACTACCTAAAGTTCGTCGCCACGACTGTCGGTCGCGACAAGCTCCTCCGCACTCTCCAGTACTTCGCCCGTTTCTACGCCTGGTACTTGTTTCGCACCAATGGCTCCAAAACTGAGATCGCTCCTTGGGATGCCATCAAGAAGCAATTTGGCCTCACCCGCAAAATCATGCGCGTAGGCAAAAACGTCGAGCACTTCAAAGCTGCCGCCGTTGCTTCCGATGCCAAAACTATGGACCCTGTCCTCCGCTACGCCGCTGTCGGTCGCCAGCTTGGCTATGCTGGCTATCTGACCTTCGATGCCGCCACCGTTTTGGACGCGGCTGGGATTAGGAAATGGGAGGGTGCCAAGAAGCTTCAAAAGGAGGCCTATCGCTGCTGGGCCATTGGTCTGATCTGCAGTGTCATTGCTCAATCCTATACCCTTTACCGTCTTCAGCAGCGGGAGGCCAAGGTCGATAAGAAGGAAGGTGAAGGTGTTGTTGAGGCAAAGAGAATAGCCATGTAAGTACCCCCAAGATGAACCCCCCTCAGAACCGTCTCTGGGACGTGAAAATTCGCGCCCTCTTCGCGTTGGCAAGCCGGCTCAAGCTAATCAAACTATAGTGAACGCGCTGGTAGCCGCCTCCAGCTCCTTTCCGACCTCTGCGACTTGACCGTCCCCACCTCCGCCTTGGCGTGGGCCAATTTTGACGATGGCATTGTTGGTCTCGCTGGCACCATAAGCAGTTTGATTGGTGTATACACCCAGTGGAAGAAGACGGCGTAATCTTACTCTACGGTGAAGACGCGCATGCATGTTTCTGCGCTTGGAGCGTGTTTTGATGGGACGGCAAGAAGGCTTCGAAAGTGTGTCATCTGAACATCCGATAATGGAGGGTATGTTGGGGCGTTCCGGTTTAAGCCAGCAAAGGTGGAAGGTTCAATTGCTACGGCAGGTACTTGTAGGCAGGGAATTTGGCTGTCAATTAAATGCACATTGTCGATGCGAACGCCATGGTCCTCTTCGATGTTTACTGGGCACAGTACTAGGCCCAACTCATCATCGCATAAGCGAAGTGGAAGGGTGTGACGGGGTGCAGGCAAGGATTCATTCTTTTTGGTCGGATATCCATGCGTGTAATCGTACAATATACATTTCCTTCTGGGTACTCCCATCTCGATTTCCGCGACGCAACACTTCATTTTCTGTTGCCCCAAATCCCCGCATCCTACATGATTGGAAAGCTTGGAGACTTAGAACAACTTTTCAGGCCCAAGAACAACCGCCATTCAAATCACATCGTTTCCTTCCTTATGGTCCAATGCGAACTAGAAGCGAGGATGCGGTATCTGTACTGTAACATTTTGGGCGCCTCCAGGATCTATTCAGAGTCAAGGACAGCCCCTTTGAGGCAAGTGTTTGAGCAGGAGATGAGTTACCAGTAACGGCCACCACGGTCATACTCGCGAGGGTACCCATCACGAGGGTACGCCCCATCTCGAGGAGGGAAGTCTCTCGGAGGACGGTCATAGGGTCTACCATTGGCATAGGGATCGGGTGGCGGAGGATAGTCTCGACGGTAGGGGTCGTCATAGCGGCCTCGCGGTGGAGGGTAATCATCCATAGGGCGGCGAGGAGGGGATCGGTATCGAGCGCGATCATCATAGTACTCTCGACGAGGGCTGCGCTCACGATAGCCGTCACGATATCCATCTCTGCGCGGACTGTAACCTCGTGGAGGGCCACGCCTATCGTAGTCGTCCATCGGAGGCGGGTAAGGGCGACGTCCGCCAGGAGAACGTGAGCGCGCGCCGCGGATGTCGCGAGGAGGCATATCGGGTTGGGTCTGATGAAGTGCGTCAGCTCAGTCAGACAGCGCATTTTCATTTGCAGATTGGTAACCCACGTCGGCAACACAGGTGACACGATTTCCTTTGAATTCTCGGCCGTCAAGCTTCTCGACCGCAGTTCTCAGGTCGGCTGCGGTCTCAAATTCAACGAATCTGTAGAGTTCAGTTAGTATTTGCCAAGACCGCGGGAAAGGTAGCAATTGACTCACCCTCGACCATTGCCGTCGCGGCCGGTCTCAGAATAGACGACATCGAGACTCGATTGACGGGCAAAATCTTTGAGATCCTATATCCAGAGTCCATGTAAGTTGGTGTCCAGGAGCTGTGGCATGGGCCGAAGAGGGTTGGAAGTCCGGAGTTCAACGACCAGACAGCGTCCAGTCAGCGGTGGGAATAAAGCCATCGTCGAGGCGGCCATCCCAAGGGTTTCCTTCCTTGTTCTGATAGGGCCAAGCCGACATAGAACCAGTCCTGACACGGCAATGCGAGTTCCATCCGAGCCGCATGGTCCGCGCTGGTATGAGGACGGCAGGAGGGGAGGTATCTGTGTGCCAAAAACCGCAGAACGTGCCGGGAAGTCCATCTCGCGGTGAAAGGGTCGACCAACGCGCCTCGCGCCAGCAAAGGGGGAGAGGGGGAAAGTCCAGGTGTCCGGCTTGAGAGAATGGGGAGAGATTTCAACAGACCTGCCAACTGGTATCGGTGGGAAGTCCCGTGATCTGCATCCGATGGGGAGTACGGCGAGGCCTTGGGGGAGCGCGCTCGTTGTTAAAGCCGCCGCCATTACCGCCCTCCCGATGCCGGGTTCCACGGGCAAATTGCACTGTCAAGCGTTCGCCCATAAAGTCGGATCCATCTTTTGATGCGATGCTATGGTTAGCGGACCGGACCGGAAGAAGCAGATTGCAGTGTATCGACGCGCGAGAACATACGGAAAGCTGGGCAGACAAGGAATTAGCGATGAAGAAAGTGACGGGACCAGACTGCGTCAGCGTTGAGACACTTACCTGGGACTACATCACGGGCATCCATGGCATCTTTGTATTCAATGAAGCCGAAGCCGTTCATGAGCTTGATTTCAGTTATTTCGCCGGTGCCATGGGTGGCGAAGTGTGCTTCGACGTCGGCTTTGGTAGCTGGCGGGGCCAGAGGCGCATAGGTTAGCGATTTGCTACCACAGCGCGATGCATCGAGACGCATTTGGGCGAAGTTGAACTAACCAGTTCGCGGGAGATTCCCCAGGTACAACCTGGTAGACGACACTTCGGTCATTTTGATGGAAATGCCTTGTCTAGTCTGTCGCGTGTAGAAGAGCAGCCAAGCGAGATTCGCAGTAGCAGTTGCCACAGGCGTGTCAACGATACGGCCGAGTCCAAGAAGCGGCAATGACGTGGAGAATTAACGACTTGTGATGTTCCAGGTCGACCTATAGGCAAAAAGGCGA